CCTGTGCCTGCTCCAGATAGCCCCGCATGGGGTGAGAGCACCTGCAGTAGGGAGTGCTGGCCATGGGCTGCGCGAGGGGCCACTTTTCCCCAAGCTCAGCACCAGCTTCTTCTCTGCTGGCGAGCAGGGGGTTGGGGCTGTGTGGTGCCCCCCACCTGTACCACGGGGCTGGGGGGCACTGGGAGTGAGCAGGTGTGGGAGCACGGGGCCTGCACCAGTGTCCTGGGGCCAGTGCTGGAAGAGCACAGAGCAGGGTGGCAGGAGCATATGGTCCTGACTGGCAGGGGCTCTATGGAGCCGGGCCAGCTTCCCCCTCTCTCTGCTGGTGCAGCCCAGCCTGGCTCCACAGACTCCTGCCAGCCTGTGCCCTGCTTTGAGCCCCACCGGTGCTGGCCCTGGGACATTGGGCCCAAGATGGTGATCAGGGGGCGGGGCTCCTGTCAAGGGGCAGGGCTACCCATGCGGCCCTCAATAGCCTGCCAAAACTGGGTAAGCGGCCCTCCGCCCAAAATAATTGCCCACCCCTGTGCTAGATACAGCACGCAGGGTTGGACTGGTCCTGTGTGTCATGTGCCAGGCCAGGGGCTGGTGTGTGCTGCATACAGTGTGTGGCAGTATAGCTGGCACATGTCCTGCAAGCAGTGTATAGGGCATACTGCACACAGTGCCTGCCCTGGGCTGGCCCTGTGTGCTGGATCTGGTCTTTGGGGCCAGTTTGTAGGCCTGGTCCAGCCTGCAGAATGACCTTGTGTTCCTAACTTACTCCTAACTAAATGGGTTGTGCACTCGCACCCTGCCTGGCATTTTTACCCCCTTTTGAAGTACCTACAAGTTTCAGTATTTACATCTCAGATCAGACTCAAATGAGCTACAGTAAAATATGATTAATTGGACACTTCAGGGGGATGGGTAATGATGACAATTAATCGTTCAGGGGTGATTAATCGGTAGCTAGCCATATTTTCAACTTTTCCTGAGATGAATTAGTCACTATTACTTTACTATATTTTTCATGTTATATCAAAATGTACAAAAAATAATTCTTCAGCCTTATACAAAAGAAGGAAAGAAACAAACACCCCCCCCCCCCCCAAAAAAAAAAAAAAAAGGTAAATTGCAATGCAATACTTTGGAAGGTTGGGTTCCTTGTGCACTTAAGAACATGATGGCTTGTGAAGTAACCAGGGGTATGCAGAGCTACAGCAAAGAACTGCATAGGACCATTCAAGTGCTCGAGCCATTTGAAGCAACTTTTAGTTCCAAGGGTGTCCCTTTTCCACCAGGCTGGAGTTCATAGTCATCCTGTGCAGCTGATCAAAGAAGGCAGTGTCCATTGAAATAAAAACTGGGAAGCAGCTGGAATACTTCATGCAGCAGCAGCTTTTTCTTCAAGGGCACAGTTGTTCCTATCAGCTTTGCTGGACAGTTTCATAGTTGATAGGGTTGGAAGGGACCTGAGCAGATCATCAAGTCCGACCCTCTGCCACAGTGTTGAGGAGCTCCAGCTGTGGAGAAATACACAATGCCTTGAGAAATAGAAGTCTCAGCATACAACTGGAGTGCCTGTTTGCTGCTACTTTTACTTTTTAGTGTACCACTTTTCCACTTACCTGGAGCTCAGCAGTGCATTTGAAGTAAAAGCCACAGGAGCCAGTCAGCCATTTCATCTTCAATTCAGCAACTATCTGCCAGTTGAACAGGGGACACACACTCTTGGTACAAATGATCTGGGTACTAATGTGCCTTTTTAAACTGGTGAATTAGCAGCAAATTCTGTAGTGATTCCCTTAAGAATGTTGAAAGGTTAAACATTCAACCAATAAGTATATTCATACCAGTGAGGAATCAGAACTTGCGGTAGACGTGATTTTTTTTTTATTAGACCAACTAGATTTTTGGAAAAGAATTTCTTTAATTGCAAGCTTTCGGGCACAAGCATCCTTCTTCAGGTATAGGAGAAAAGATTATAAATTTCCCAGGTAGAAATGAAAGTTCATGTTTCATAGGAGAGTTAAAGGTGTGGTAAAATCTCCTGTTGGCACAGTTCATTTAATGCAGGCTAGGCTCAGAGAGAAGTTTGAAGTCTGTTTACCTTGAAGTTGTTCGGTGGCAAGCAGGTATAGTCACATTTCCTTCTGGTTATGATATTTCATATTTCACAGAAGAGTAAAAGGATGAAATGCTCTTTTGGGCAGGAATTTTGTATGTGGTAAGGTATCTCTGGGCTCTGTAATTATGCAAATTACCTTGAACAAAGGCAGGAGCAGGGTCTCAGGTTTCAGGTGATAAAACTTGCTTCTTCCTTGTAAAATTTTAAAGCTTTCATTTAAAAAAATGATTTGTACCAGTGATGCATCACCAGTAAACATTTAGTGCAGCACACAGTGTGGTTGGCAAGGGAAGCAGTGTGATGCCTCAGAAACAAGGAAGGTAGCAGAATGGGGAAGAGGGGAGTGGAAAGGGCAAGGGGTGGGACCAGTACCTATAAGTTTAAAGAGGAAAACAGGAGGGCCTAGGGACCCAGAGGACGGCCCTATTAAGTAATTAACTGCTCATTCACAGGTGCTACCTCCCTCCCAGAGCACCAGCAGCAGGCCCTCCTCACCTGGTGCTGCCCTGCCACCTGCAGCTTGAGGTGAGCTGTGTGTTGTGGGGCTTGCTTCCTCCCCTGCCATGTAAAAGGCCATGTGTGAACTACTGTGTTATTAACTTAAATCATTTAACCAATATAATTAGGGGAGGTTAAACAGATAATTTTTAAATAATATTTATATCCCTAGATGCAATATATATGTTCTTTTTGGAAAGGATGATTTACATTTTAAACCACTAGTTAGCCAGAGTGTTTTCAACACAAATAGGTAGGACAGATATGTGCTGCTGCTAGTTGTCCCTGGGGAAAGTACATTCCTGC